GTGGTTCGATCCCCCAGCACCACATGCCAGCCAGCCCCGCCCCCAGGTGGGCTGAGCTGGTCACACACACACAATAAATAAATGTAAAATAAATAAAAGTATTTTTAAAAAAAATTAAATGAAGGGGCCAGGGAGATGGCTCAGTGATATAAGCACTTTCCTGGCAAGCGCAGGGGCCTGAGTTCAATCCCCAGTTCCACCAAAAGAAAAAAAAAAAAAAAATTAAATGAAAAACTGAAAGGGCCAGCCAAATAGCTCAGCGGATTAAAGCACCTGCAAGCAGACACAGGGGCCGGGGGTTCCATCCCAGGGCCTGCTGTGCCAGCCCTGCTGAGATGGCAATTGAGACTGGGCGTGGTGGTGAGCACCTGTAATCCCAGCTCTTGGGAGGCTGTAAACAGACGAATCACTACAAGTCAATATAGTAATGAGACCCTCAACACGCTATAGACCATTCCCTAAAAAATACAAGGAAAAAAAAACTGAGCTTCAAAGATTAAAGAATATATTGTTCAACTTTCAAGTATATTGGTAAAGGTATTGATAAGGGGAAAATTTTTCATATATATAAGTAAAAACTATATATACATCTGTATTCACTCATTTACGCATTCAATGGGAATGGGAGTTACATCTCTTTTACAACTAACACAGTTTGAACTGCATACATAATCTCCAATACTGATTCCATTGTTGTATCCTTTTTCCTTGCCAGAATGCCGGAAGTAATAATTTTAGATGCACATTACAAGTTAAAAGCATTAGAGATTAGCTTTTTGTTAATGATATTTTCCTTTCATTTCTTGTAGGAAATCTATCCTCCCAAGTTGCACCAGTTTGCTTATGTTACGGATGGGGCTTGTTCAGGAGATGAAATTCTCACCATGGAATTAGTGATTATGCAGGTTGGTTACACATTAATTTCCAGTCATGTATTAAACACATATGTAGTGTCCTCCCCACATGAAGTGTGGGTGCGTCTGCTGGGTCTTCTGCAGCTGGACGTTGTGGCATGGAACACAGCTGCATTTTGAACTTCTTTTCATGACTGTTGGCCTCTGTCCTTTAGGCTCTGGAGTGGCGTTTAAGTCCCCTGACCATTGTGTCCTGGCTCAACGTGTACATGCAGGTTGCATACCTAAATGATGAATATGAAGTGCTGCTGCCGCAGTATCCCCAGAGTATCTTCATACAGATTGCAGAGGTAGGTGGCTCCGTTGCCTTTGTGCGCTTCTCCCCTCCTGGCAGAGGGAGGAACCCCAGAAGCGATGTGTGCCAGCCTGCGTTCTTTTCTCCATAGCTTTTAGATCTCTGTGTCTTGGATGTTGGCTGCTTAGAATTTCCTTATGGTGTCCTTGCTGCTTCTGCCTTGTACCATTTCTCTTCCTCTGAATTGATGGAGAAAGTTTCAGGTAGGTTGGCTTCCCTTGAGTTCCTAAACAAGGTGCGTGGAGCTTACAGACCATATATAGTCTCACATGGAACCTGCGATTTCTTATTGCAGGGTATCAGTGGTGCGACATAAAGAAATGCGTCAAATGGATGTTTCCATTTGTCACAGTTGTAAGGGAGACAGGAAATGCCAAAGTAAAGCACTTCCGGGGAGTTCCTGTTGAAGATTCCCATAACATACAGACTCATATCAACAGCTTGGATTTGCTGGTATTTACTGTTCTTTATTTCATTCTTTAGATCTTATTAAAATTTCCTAATTTGGGTGTGGTGCACTGCCTATAATCCGAGCTGGGGAAGGCTGAGGCAGGAGGATCTCTGAATTTAAGGCCAGCCTGAATTATATAATTAATGTTATCTTAAAAAACAAAATAATCTTGTACAGCAATTAACCACTAAGAAGAATATATGCAGTGTATTATTTGTTGAAACTGTACTTTCGATTTGATTTGAAACTGTCTCATTGCTATATGTTTATCAATAAAACTTTGAAAAAAAAAAAAAAAAAAAAACCAAAATAAAGGAGCTGGGGAGATGGCTCAGTAGAATAAGCGCTTCCCTGGCAAGCGCAAGGGCCTGAGTTTAATCCTGGTTCCTCAAAAAAAAAAAAAAAAAAAAAAAATTAAAAATTAAAAAAATTAACTGCCTAGCTTACTTCTTCATTTTCCTTTGGACAGGCTCTAGGCATCCTAGAAAAACTTTTTTTAATGTGGTACTGAGTTTGAACCCACACTTAGCTACATCTCCAACCCATCTTTATTTCCTATTTTGAGACAGAGTCTCATTAAGTTGCCCACACAGGACTGGAGCTTGCAACCCTAGAAAAATCTCCAATTCTTTTAATTCCTTCAAAAAGGAAATTTCTGGCCCATAGATGCCATATCTGCATATTGCATAAGACTGCATGTTCAGATTGGTTGTTGCCTTTGCCTCTGTATAACAAATAAAGTGAAGGCTGAGTTCTTGCACTGTAACCACTCTCCCCTTTAATTAACAGGACAAAGCCCAAGCAAGGAAAGCCATACTATTGGAACAGAATAGGATTTCTCCCATCCCGTCCGGAGTCCTCACTCCGCCTCGGAGCAGTGAGAAGCAGAGCGAGGAGCCAGACACGGCATGACCGCACCAGCCTCTCCACCAGAGACACGTGTGGACACGGCTGCTCCTAGCTCTCTGTGTGCTGCAGGGGCGGCCTGGGCTAGCTTTTTACAGATATTTAAGTGGAAGAGTGTCTCTCCTGTGACAAAAGTATTTCTGTGGACGACTTTGGACACGGGAGAAATATTTTTATTAAATGCTTAGGTTTTTTTAATAAGTGGGTCAAGTACACCAGCCACCTCCCGAACACCAACGCGTGCTCCAGATGCTGCTAAGGAAGGTGATACTTGGCTTGATCAACTTCACAGAAATGAGAAAGGCTTAAAATGGAGGGGTACCGGTGCTTCGTCGTTCCCCACGCAGGTGCTCTGAGTTGCGTGGTGTTAGGCGACACACATGATCAAGCCCTCACTGGGGTGCAGAGCCCATGGCCGGGCAGGCCACACCTCAGACACTGTCATTGGCAGTGTACCATGCCTTTTATGAACTCTTGCAAGTGCTGCTATATCTATCCCTGTTTAATAAAGATAATACTGTCTTTGAGACAGCTGGTTTTATGAGCTGTGTCTGGTCATTTAAAGCCAACTTTTGGTGTGGTTACATCAAGTTCTCTTTGTCTTCATGCCTTTGGAAGGGGAGGTCTTTCAAGGAAATACATTTAAAAGAAAATGTGAGTGAGGTTGCAGTGCAGCAGCCTGGTCTCCTAAGGTCCAAAGCTGAGAGGCTGAATTGTGACGTCTCCCACAGTGACGTGCACAAGTCATTGTCGCACTGGGGTCATTAGCCATCATGGGCTGTAGTGAAGTCATTTCCACCTCCAAGAGGATTTCTAAGGAGAGTTTCTTCCATAGGAGGAAAACCCAGATTTTTTTTTTTTTTTTTCCAGAACTGGGGATTGAACTCAGGCCCTTGAGCTTGCCAGGCAAGCACTTATTCTACTGAGCCATCTCCCTGGCCCCAAAACCCAGATCTTAACCTAACATGAATCAGGAGTTTGTTAGCATGGTAGGCTTTCATATAAAGTAGAACATGCAGCTCAAGGCTAAGATTGTAGGGTATGACCCATTCCTCAACTGGCAGGGGACTTATAAGGGTGCATCACTGTCCCCTTGATATCTAATGTATCCTGCCAATAGCACTTTTTGTTTGGCAGTGTGGAAGTGGTGGTCTTGCCTATAACAGCCCCCTGGGAGGTCTGGGCAGGAGGATTTTAAGTTTGAGCCTGGCTGGGCTGTGTTTGAAAAATTCAGAGGCTGGGGATAGGTCTAGGGATACAGCTCAGTGCAAAGGCCCTAGGATTCCCCCCCCCCCCAGTCTGGTTACCTTGCCACACCTTGTGTTTCGCTGTCAACACTGCTTCAGTGTGTATGTAGGGGAGCTGGTATACACACCGCAGTGAAGGAGCAAAGAAGTGCCACTCGATTTATGTTACAAAAACAAGGGAAAGAAAACCGGCCATTTAATTGATGTATTTATTTATTTGGAGTTTTCAGGCATTTAAGCCACTAGCAGTGAGTTTTCAATGTGATTGTAAGTGACATGTTAGCAAAATCCTAAAAGTGATTAGGTTTTATTTTTCATGAAAAATAGCACTGAAGAAGCCAGGTATGGCTGTACACCTGTAATATCAGCACTCCAGAGGCTGAGGCAAAAAGATCTTGAGTTTGAGTCCAGTTTAGGTTACACAGTTCAAGGCCAGCCTAAACTACATAGGAAGACTCTGTCTAAAAAACAACACACACACACACACACACACACACACACACACGCAACTGAAGAGCTAGGTTGAGTCCCTATCAAAACTTTAAAAGGACAAGAAGTAACCCTGGGAAGGTTCTGTGTGAAGTTTCTGGGTTCAATCCCCAGCACAATAAAAACAAGAATGCCTGACACATAAATTGTAGGAATGCTGCTTTTCTGGAAGTCAGGATCTTTGTAGGCAGCTTGTAACTATCAGTGCTACTAAAAAGTCGTGGATGGGAAATAAAATCCAGAGTAATCCATAATTTCTGTGGCTCTGTCAGAAATTTAGCTGCTGGTAAGTGACAAACAGGTCTACCCTTTGGGGCGCTTGGATTTGTTAGTGACTGGTCAGGAGCTACGGTTGGCCTCCCCTGCCCACCAAATCACTTGGTTGTGCTATTCAGCTAGAACCAGCTGAGGTGATGAGACTGAGAGACATCACATGAAACCTGGTCAGCAGAGGCTCTGGGGCAAAGATGAGGGCCAGAGTGGAGCAGGTGAGAGCCCGCAGTCAAGCTTTGTTATAATTTGGATCTAAAAGGTCCCCTGGAAGCAGGTGTGTTAAAGACTTGGTCCCCAGCGTGGCACCCTTGAGGGGAGACTGAGCAGATTAATCCATTGTAGGGTTCATAGCTTAGTGAATTTGGGGGAGGAGCTGTGCTGAAAACAGTCTTCCTCCTGGCCTGCACCACGATGAGTTCAGCCACACCTCAGGAGAGGTTTCTCTCAGGTATACAGTAACAGGAGTTCTTATGTTGGAGAGGAAGGGTGACAGGAGCCCACCCTGCAGAAGGCTTGGATTGTGGTAGGACATCCCACATCCTCCGGCGTCTCCCAGCTCCCAGAAGTCACCGCCAGATCTCACCGGAGTTGCTACCATTCCTCTGCACGCTGTGCCTAATGGGAAAAGCACCTGTCTTCAGGTGGTGGTGTGGAAGGCTTTCTCTTGCCCTCTTTCCTCCTGGCTCTTGAAGGACATTTCATACCAAGCAGATAAATAAATGCCACTGAGACTCACATGGGCCGCCAGCTCCTGCAGCAGAGAAGAAGCTGTGGAGCCCTTTAAGAGTCAAAGCATAGTGCCTGATACGCTTCTGTCCTCTCGCGCAGACACAAACGAGATTGGAGTTTATTTGGGCAAAATTAGGCTCTAGCTCTGAGCAGGGATGGAACGAGAAATCAAATCTGATAATGTCTAGTCATATTTACCCAACCGTGCATTTTCCTACCACATGTTCAACATTTTGAAATTCAAATCACATTTATACCTTGGACATTGTTAGAAGACTATTTTTATCCCTGCAGTAATCATCTAATTTGCTGATTACAGGTCTCAAATTGCCACAGAGAACTCAATTTTTGAAAGAATTGTCCTATTTGATCAAATACGTTATTCAAGCAATGCAGTCATTTGTTCCACAAGGTTACCTGCCAGGCAGAGTTAACCAGGAGTAATAGCATTAGAAGCCTATACTTAAAATCAAGCATTAGCTAATCTGCCTGTGACAATAGAGTCTTAAATATAATTTGCTGCAGATACTTCAGTTCCTGCACTGACAGACAATTGCATTTTGTAGTCAATGAGCATAGATTTTTCCTACCTCATCCTAATTCCAAATTTAACTCCAGAAGATTCTAATGTGCTCAGTTTCACTGGCTTACCAGGTACCATTTCCCAGGTGCCTCTGCTGAGAGGGCAACACTGACCTTTATTAAATAAATATTTCGTTATCCCACACCCTTTTTAAATCATTTTCCTGATCAATGCCAATTCTAAAACCCCAGTGTCTGCAGAGAGGTTAGTGTCTAAAGCTGGCATTTCCCAATTTGATGTCCAAGATGCATGCTTCCTGAGCCCCCACTGTGTGATAGAGACAAAGACAATGGGGTGTGGGTGAGGGACTCAGGTGACCATAGAGATACGGCAGGTAACCATTAAGCCCTGCAGTATGAACAGAGGGCAGAAAAAGTGCTTACAACTGAGGTAGAGGAAGAAGACGAGGCAAGAGAGCTGACAGAGACCATGTCACAAGGAGGTTTGGCACACTGTACAGAGAACGGGTGTGGTCTGCCCAGTGGCAGGAAGCTGGGCTGGTGAAGTAGGAAGGGGTGACAGTGACATGCTCAGCCAGTTTAGGGTTGGCTTCTGCATGCCATCAGAAATTATCATACAGGGCCAGGGAGATAGCTGAGTAGAGTAAGCACTTGATTGCAAGTGCAAGGTCCCGAGTTCAATCCCCAGTACCAGAAGAAAAAAAGGAAAAAGAAAAAAAGAAATGACCATGCAGTGCACGTGGGACAAGAAGGAAGGCAAGGGGACACCTGTGAGAACCAGCAGCGCCAAAATGGAATAGCTCTCCTGAGTGACTGCCTGAATCCTTCTGAGGCCACACCTGGGCACAGGCCACCTTGAACCTGGCCTCTTGCAGGGGTCCAGCCCATCTCTGGCCCACAATGATGCCATTTCTTCACTGGACGCATCATCCATAGCTGCTGTCACTACTCCCCCTGTAGCGCCTTCCAGCTGGGCTTCTGCTCTCACGAAGCCACCTTAGACCTCTGCTATTGTATGCATCTAGAAGGTTCCACAAAGGCCACATCTTCAAGGCCTGGTCTCCAGCCTGGCACCATTGAGATGGCAGTAGCTTTAAGAGATGGGATCTGGAGGGAAAAGATTTAAGTTGGGTATGGGCCCTTTCAGGACCAGGGGACAGGAATCCTTTCCTCTTCTTCTCTTTCACTATCTCATTGTCAGGGGAGAAGCTCTGCTCCACCACATGCTTCTGCCACTTAGCAGAGGTAGAAAAGCCTATCCCTGGGCAAGCTCACTGCTCTGAGGCCTTCAGCACCTGCTGTGTGCCTCCCTACCCTCCACATCGCGTCCCTACCCCCTGCTCCTCTGGCTTCCCATCTGCACACGCACTGCTGCAAGAGCCTTCCGCCTCCATCTCCTCCCCACAGCTCACACTCCATCATCCTCCTTTGCTAACACCAGCCTAAAAATGGGAAGTCCTGCAGCACGACATGCACATGAGAACTGTTCAGCTCACGGGCCATGGAAAATATGCAACCCAAAACAATGAGACCTGTACGTGCCCATCAGGGTGCCAAAAGCCTTAAAGTGTAGAGGACAGTGCATGGGGACACCTGTACAGCCACCACCCAGTTCTGCTAAGTTGGCTTCCTACCATTTTCTTTTAAGGACTACACCATGAGTGGCAAATTGAAGGCATTCAGGTGTCCTTCCAGTCTCGTGGTCCTTTGTCGCTCCTCAGAAGA